TATCATACATTCCCTAAATTAAGGTCCAGATACAAGAAAAAGGGTACGGACTAAATTTATGAAATCATCGCCAAGTGCCGGCACGGCTCGCCCATCCAAGCGAATGACTGAGACCCCGATCTAAGTTTTATTGCTCTCTCATTCACACTGATTCCGACATGTCAGAATCAAACACTACTTCCGCTTTTAGTTTAGTACTCACTATGATAGTCGAGCTTAGCCGAGACGCTGGTGTTATACTACTCTTGGCCCCAACCTTTCTTACCGCATTTCAACTCCCCTTTCAACCCACGCCACCTCTGGCCACGGCCCCTCCCACCAGATGTAGTTTCGGCCCCAACACAGTCTGCCCTGACCCCCCCCGCCTCCCATGGTATTACCAGCCTGCTCCTGGCATTGGTACCGTAAGAACTCGAATAAACGAGCCTCGTGCTATGTAGTCCAGAATTTCCTCACTGGGAAAAGGGGTGAGAAACACACCAAAAAGTCTGCTCTCCGAGACAAATAAAAAAGAAAAAAACACCAGACCTTACTAGGAGAGGCAAGTCCAACGTCCTAGCACAAGGCTCGTTTATTCGAGTTCTTACGGTATTCTGCTTTTCGGCCTTCTCAATAAGTTCGTGGTATGCAGAAATTGGTTCTCAGCCGCATTGGGTCATTTCCCGCCCTGCCACCAAACGGGGACGATACCTTAACCTGTTTTCGGGCACTGCCTTCTTTCTGCCTCCTAACTCCTAGACACTAGATCTAGTCGTCCCGTCCGTCTAAGACGGGTAAGGACGACACATGTCTTCTCTCTCTTTGGACGGACCGGACGGTCTTGGCGCCATCCTATACAGGGTGACGGCCGTCGGACTACGCTCGGGCCACCCATATTATAATCTGTGCTACTCGTTGTTATGGTCATCCTATGTGGCTGGGTAGAGCTGCATTTTGGTAGTAGTGTGTGTTTCACTTGGTGCATTGGCCAATTTCAGTCGACTGCAGTCGACGGCCGTCCGACTGGACGACTGAAAGGACTGCTCCTAGAGATATCAAGGGCAGTTTATCAACTTGTTGAAGCTCAAATTCGTTGACCACAGTATCTCCTCGTCCAATCCACGATCTCCGGCAAACCCTAACCTCCCTACCCAGGGACAAAAAGCTCAAGGAAGGTTAACAGAATTGCGAATACCTGTTAGCAAGATACAACACAGTCAGCACGCTCACGCTTTACCGCGCGAGGAAAAACCCAAGCCTTCTTGGGGTTCTTGTCTCTAAATACGGAGATTAGAGGCGTATCGGAGATAGTGGATTGGACGAGAAGTTACGGTACGGTTGATCGTTGAGCTTTTATGGGTGGAGGTAGTTTCTTCTGTTGTGGAGTTATAATGATTTGCGCGAAAGCTTCTCCATGCATCTCTTTGCATTATTATTGCTATACATGTGGAGGTATGTGGACATGTATGCAGATAAAAGACAGGTGGTGATCCATAGAAGTATCAAAATGTTTTCATTATGTTTTCCTTATACTCCTATCATGGCCATTAATTTAGAGAAGACACTAAACAGGAGAACGGAGTTTCTGACCCTATCTTTTCTATGCCTCCTCATCACCTGTCAAGTCCCATTTTTCACCGCTCCGAATACCGCTGCGCGATTCATCCTCCCCATATATTCTCCAACATTTCCCTCCTTCTCTTTCCTCATTAGCTACATCCTATGTGCTGCGCTACCGGATCAGCCATTATGAGGTCAGGTGCGCCCGTTTCTATGAGACGTTTAGAACATGGCCCAAGCACCGTAAGACGTGTACCGGCTTTGTCAATTTCAAATCCTTAAGGCTTTATGGGGGTAAGTGCAAATGAGAAAAAAACCCGCCTCCGAAAGAGGAGATGAAGAATAATAAACAGGTTTTTTTTCTCATTTGCGCTTACCTCTATAAAGACTTAACAACTTGAAATTGACTAGTCTGGTACACGTTTTGGAGTGCTTGAACCACCCTCTGCAAGTACCGCCATCCCGAAAAACACGTCCTCCCCGGGTCCTTCTCGCGACTTAGAAAGGGAGAGAGTCCGGCGACTGCTTCGCAGCTAGTCAATGACCCAGGATTCCGTCCCCCACGGTCCATCCCGTTATTAGCTTCGTTTATGCTTACTCCCCCCTTCAGACTTGCTTACTCCCCCCTTCAGACTCCAGAGAGGTTGCTTTTTTTGTCAGAAACTTTACCCGTCAACATTTTTTCCTTTGTGCCGCTAATTCTGTGGATGATTGGCTGAAAGGACCAACTAGAGAAGGTATCCTCCTCAGGCATCACGATCATTTGCCCCTCTTTCCCGGTTGTCAGGGCCCAGCTACGCACACTCCGCCACGCCTCGATATCACGGATCTCACAAAAGATGCCTCACTATCCCAGATGCGGTGTTCGCAGCCTGCAGGTCCGGTCACGCATTTCACCTGATCTAGCTAGCCAGTGCTTTTCCAGAAGGTGGTAAACCAGAGTACATATATCTGAATACTTGAATCTTCCGAGTGATCGATCCGTTCTTGAGGGTTTTCAGAGCATCTGTATGCATTGACACGGGTGGGATGGAATTCTAGCTTATGATGTCAGCACATCCCTAGCTATACTTGCATGGTAATGTGACTAAGAAAAAATCTTGATTTGCCTGCTTCCCACCCAACAAACTGATTTACTGGCTATCGCAACTCATGACAATTCAATTCCCCCCCCCCCCACGGCGTTAGGACTTCGAGTTCTCCTTCCTAGTCAATCGTCCCAGGTGCGCCTTGGGCATAGCTAGGGCCAACTTGACCATAGATGGCTACCGAGTATTTTATTTTGATTAAAAATTCATAGGCGCCGTGGGAGTTTCCAGATGAATGCCCCGGTAATGGACGACCATGCACCCAAAGACCGACAATACCAAGAGAGAAGGATGGCGGCTCCGGGAAACCCCCCACCACAGTAGTTGGAATGTAACTGACCATATGGATTTTGTGAACATTGCGGCTGGGTACTGTGGAGACTTGTAGGAATCATGAAAAACGGACAATTCCGAGGTAAAACCGCACAATCACCAAGGCTTTTTCTCAGCCAATTTATGTTACATTCACCGCTATTGCGTATAGCAGTAGATTTGAGAGAGACTAGGCGCAGAACTTCGTGGGGGTCCAGGGTGTACTGTACGAGCTCAGCAAAAAAAATTCATGTATCATACACCCCCGGGTTTACAACAAAAATGGGCATTTTCAGCCCCGTCCGTTTGCAAAAGAAAAATTAAAAAATCACCAGAACCTTTAGAACCATCCAGATATTCCCACTCATATGTTACATGAGCTATCAGTTGGCGCTCCGTGGGGCTCTCCCGGAAATAATAATAGGAGGTAAAATTACGTGTGATCTTCTATTTCCTACACAAGGGGTATGATACACGGCAACACCGTCCAATCTAGGCCCTTAGCTCTCTGCCCACATGGCAGAGTGGAAATTTTACCACATTTCTGTAATACCTACAATGTCTAGGGAATTTTCTGCACTATGACATCGGTTTCGTTAATTCTATATTACTTTGAGATGGGTTGGGAGTGCTTAAAACCAGGGATTTTCGTTGTAAAATAGTAGGCCACAAATTTTGTAACTAAGATCGCGCACTCATATTGTCTGAGCATTTGTATCCAACATGCTACGATAGTCAGGTTTAGGAAAAGAAGAAATTTATCAGTGGGGAATCACCATGTCGCCTGCACACCGCTTTGGGAGACCTATCGTAGAGAAGAGAAGAGGCTACAATGAAACAGGTGCAGGTAAAGAACCCCTCATTCTCAGGGGTTGGAACCGTTGGTATAGGGTTTCTTCCGATATCTTATAGATCTCCGCTAGTGGCTTCTATTCAGCAGATGAGTGCAATGACCCGAGAATTTCCCACCCATCCCAGTGTTCCGAACCGTCTAGTCCGTCAGTCTTTGGGGTAGGACGGGACATATTCTGATAAAACCGGTAGTCCGTCTTTCCGGCAGTGCTAGGACGGACTGCGCCCGGGACTGCTAGGAATAGACGGACTACGGAGGACTATGATACTGTCCTACTGCCTGAAATCCTCTGAACAAAATGACCTTGTCAGCCACACGGTTTCAACCCTTTCTGAGGTTCTTTGTGGTATAATATATTGCTCCCCGGCAGTCCCCACAGTCCCCCGTCGTCCATGGTAGTCCCCCACCATCCTTGGTGATCCCCCGTCATCCACGATTGTCCCCCGCCACCCCCGCCACCCCCGCCACCCCCGCCACCCCCGGTAATCCTCCGAGTCATATATTCCCTGAGTGAGGGCTCAGATATCGGAAGCGGGATCCAGAACCAGATTTATGAAAACTTCACCAAATACCGCACGTTCACCCAACTCCTGGGGTCTCCAAATGACAAACGGCATACTAGTTACAACTGAGTAAGGCTGTTTTCCAAAAGGTGATAGGCTCGCTGGTCCTGCAGCTTGATTCACACCGATTCTGATATGTCTGCATTGAGCACTAGCTGAAACCTATAATCCAGTCAAACAGTTAAAGAGTTTTAGGAGCTTGACAAGAAGGTGAGGCAGAAAGACGAATTACAAGCAATGCTAAAACCCAATCAAAAGAAAATAATAATAAGTAAACTAAGCCGAAATAATAAATAATAGAGGGTATTAACAACTTTATAGAAGAAATCTATCCAATCCCAGCTAAAGACAACCCACTAGTACGATAGCACTAATGCCCCTAGTATTAACTCTTACATCCCCAATCCTTTCTCAATAGGCCCGCGGCCCGTTGTCTTTGCTTTTTCCCTTCCCGAATTTCTCTCCTAGCCACCACATTATCCTTCGTCACCCGATTTTCTCTGTTCCTTACAGTAGCACGCACCTTCTTGGCTTTTACTGGATGTTCAACTTTGTTCGCCGCTTTCCCATGTTTTGCCAGCAATTCATAATTGCTCGCATGAGTAAATAGGTCAATAGAGTTGCGAATCCCGGCCGTTACCTCCATTACCTCATGAGCAACTACAGAGCCGTAGAAGAAAAATCCGTCCCCAATTTCCAGGCCAATCCGCATTTTCATCTGCCACAAAACCAGGTCTCCACCTTGGAATCCATCCCCAAATGGTGCAACACAGTTAAATAGCCGCTTATCATCCATCCAATCCTGGTGGGAACGGCTCTCATCAGAGGCTAACCCCTGATTCAAACACACACCATGCCATACTCCACCAAGCGGCCTCAGTTTCCTCCCATCAGTGCTCATAACCTTCGCCATATCCTTAACCACATGTCCTGTCATTCTCAAATACTGTTCTGGGCAGAGGAACCGCAATTGATTACTACAGTAATCGAACAGTCCTCGGTTTGCCCTCAGCCATCCCCTGCCCTTTTCCCCATCCCGCAAAAGCTCCCGACTCTCACAGTACTTTTTATTATAATCCGCCCAAATAGCGTAATGCCGGCTCCTATAGAGACCCCGCACCAATGCATCCCGTCCACCTCCAGCAATCCAGGGGCCATAGGAATCCAGGGTCTTAGAGGTACTATTCAAGGTGTCAAGAAGACAGGTTGGAATCTTGAACCGATATCCAAGAATGACACCCCTGGTGTCGCGGATTTGTATTGTGCCGAGAGAGGAAGGGTAGTAGGCAAAGGAGTGAATGGCCGCTGGCTGTTCAGTGATGAGGGGGAATATCCCCTTTGGCTGGCGGGAGCGATCCAAGAGAGTCTCGAAGAGGATAGGTGACGGTAGACTCAAATATCCAACCCGATCATCCTCCCACTTCTCAAGGAGTTCCCCCACTACTGACTCCAAAGATGTTCCACGTGGCATGGGCATGGGAAGTGATTGGCGGGTAAATGCTTTCATGGCAATCAAATGATTTACCCGTCCTTGCGTGCTTCTTTTGGCCTAGATAATTTCTCCTGTTAGCCCTCTTTCTTCAAATTATTAGGATATAGCGAAGTCTCTCTGAAAAGTAAAAAGCGAAAGCAAAAACAAAGATCGTGAAGTTTTATAAAAAGGAGGGACAGAGTCCAACCTTGAAGGTGTTCAGTTTGCTTCAGAAAGGGGGGCCTTCTCCATATAAACCTAGACAGAGCTGTAAAATAGGGCATCTGACGATGCTGCATCTCCCGGCCGCAGATTCCACCCCTCACATGGAAATACTTCAAGTGTTTGATCTTCGGATACTCCACCATCCATACGTATAAGGACGGAGTAGCCCAGGATATAGTTGATTGAGAGGATAGTGGAAGATGGAAATTGAATTTGAACCGAAAGAAGAGAGAAAAGGTAATAGGAGAATGGACTACGTACCATATGACAGTTGTATCTCTACTATTAGAAAATGCGAATTCCCGGCCGGCGGTTAAACAGAGGGAAAGAGTTTCCAAAGGAGGAGTATTCCAAATGGCGTTGTGCGGTAGGGGATGGTTTGTTGCGATAAGTTCTAAGAGAAAACCAAGGCGATCGATTATGCGGGTGGGTAAAGCCTGCTAGACAGGGAGTTTAAGAGAATTATGATATTATGAAAAAAGAAAAGATAAAAAAGGCGATCTGCTCTTGCCGTACCGAGCCCTAGGATCCCGGTGCGTTTCATGCAAATTTATACTTTTATTTTTCCAATGAGGGTAGAACGGTTAGGGTTCTAGAATCCTTGGCTGTTAGGTATCCCACGTCCATACCCCAGTATACTCTAACGTTTGAACTTTGCGTTCAATCGTAGTTAGCCCAGGCGGGCATAATTAACCATGGGCTGCAGGGCACACTTAAAGTACTGCACAGATACAGAGGAGAGCAAGAGGACCGGTGTTCCCGCATTCAATGTTGCAAAGAAGGCCTTTGATGATCAAACCGGAGCAGTTAAAAAGGAGGGGGTTGGATTGGAACTTCTGGAAATGGGGATTAAAGGGGGGGTTCTTTGAGGTCTAAGCAGACAAAAATATCGGGGAATATTTATTGCTCAGAAGCCAAGAAAGCAGATTAAATTAGCAAAGTTTCAGGCACAAGCCTTAATCCCATCTACTTTATCAGCGGATTTGAGTCCATCGTGCCTGCCATCCCTAGAGGACACCATAAATGGTCCCATGGTGCGAGTACGGCCCCCAGGTCGAAAAATGTCTCCCAACCTCCCCAGTCCTTTTTTGATACTATCCCCCTTCTTTGCAAAATTTATGGGCGTGGAGGTATGAACGGAGTAATTGGTGAATGCGGAAAGGGCTTGCAAGCGGGTGTGTTGCGACGGCTTCCTGTGATATCAACTTGTTTAGTCGGCCAGAAATTTTCCATAAACAAGAGTGCACACCTCTGTACATCTCCAGCCCGCCAGACAAATGAGCGAGTTCATCACTTTCCCCAACTGCCTGGCCGTAGTATCGCTTTCTTAGTATGGCAGTTGGCTAGGCATGGCTTAACATTAGATACGCCGGGACTAGAAAAATACGTAGTAGAACCTGCGGTGCCGTTCGTAATCCCACTCAGGCCGATACCATTGAAACCTCGTACAAATATGCTGTGTATATCTAAGCTACTACGCGTAGCCCATGTTCAGACATACTCAACAACTAGCCATACCCCGCAATACCATACTACATCTCAGAAACAATATGGGTTTACTGCTACCACACTCTAAGAGGATGGCCCACCACTAAAATCGCTTTCCCGCCATTGGAGTCACACCCCGATACACTGAGCAGCGTTATTCTAAGCCTCTTACTATCACCAACGAATACCCTCGAGGCTGGCGGCCCCACTCCTTACTCAGGCACTATAAAACTCTACCGTACCCAGCCTTGTACAGTAGTAGCCTCAGTCTCATAAACAATTTCTCAAGAAGGGCTAGTACTACTTTGACACGGTATTGCTTAGTCCATTGTTTTCTGCGCCCCAAATGTCTTATTTGGGGAAAGAACGAGACCCATAAAGCACTGGTCTCCCTTCTTACTCGAGCAGCTAGCAATAAATTTACAAGAGCCTGAAACTGAGGCCTTATCTCGCCGATCTCTTGGATGCAGAGATAGGCTACGGGATAAGATTAACCCGCTGGACGTTCCGGGTATGGGCGTGGGTGACCGGGCAACAAGGAATTAGAGGCATCTTATTAAAGTTTCATTCTTTCCTGAGAAAAATCCATGCCACATCGGTTCTCCCATTTCCGTGAGGGTATTAAGCTCAGACCTCCAGAACCCCGGCTTCCTGGCTCCCAACGTCCACACTTGACTACCGTAAAAACTCGAATAATTGGACCATGTGCTCTGAAGTCCGGAATTCCCTTTTCTGGAGAGGGGGGGAAAAACACAGCAAAAACACAGCCCCTTTCCCTCTCCTGAGACAGAAAAAATAATAATTTGTTGACCATACTTAGAGAGGAAAGTCCAACGACATAGCACATGGTCTAATTATTCGCGTTTTTACGGTATTGAACCGCGTTCATTGGGGCCCCGCAATTATGTTAATCCGGAAAACCTATCGCTGGCTGGCGGAGTGATTTCCACTGATGATCTGATGGCGGATACGCGTGTTTCGACCGCCTGGTTCCTCATTCTCCACAGTAATTGCTGCTATGCTTGCTGAAGGTAATCTACAGGCTATTGAGGGCTGTAGAACCACCACCTCCAATGAAAAAGGTAAAAAGTAGAAAAAAAATGATGGGAAGAAAGGAAAAGGCTGTTATAATGCAGTGACTGAAGAAGATATCAACCGAGAGCTTTGCCCAATGGCGAGTGATCCTTCGTGACGGGACTTATAGTAAATTTGATACCACACTATACCAACTTTCAGTATCATAAGTCTGGTTAGCCAAGGCAGAGAGCAGGGTAAGCACCGCATACTTTCCAAGCTGGTTAGGGGCTTCGGGTCTGTTTAGGCAAGGGAAGTTGCTGGTGGCGGATGTGGATGGGAGGAGAAAAAGTAAAAAAATTTAATGACAATAAATAGAATGAGACCATGGAAACTCGCATGATTAGATCAAGTGCTGTCGTTAGGTTTCTAGCACATGCTCTAATTGTTCGGCTTTCTACAGTATCGGCACACAGAACTCGTCCGGAGTCAACTAGATGTGGGTGTTCGGGATAAGCGGATCCTAGCGGATAAGGAGCCCCGACTATCAGGCTAGGCATAGGTCCTCGGAGGTACCTCGGCTAACAACGTTTAGAAGAAAATAAACATGAGTGACTTCTGAAGAGTTGAAGCAAGAGAAGATAGCGAGACTTAAGGTAAGATCCTAGTTCCACAAGGTCCTGAAACCCAGCCTTGTCTATAGATCGAGGCAACACCACTCCCTATCTCCACTCTCGTACCTTACAATCCCAAAACATTCTCGTCCGAAATAGCTTCAAGTTGAATTCAAAGAGCCCCACCGCCCCCCAGTCCCGAAGATTCACGACAGTTTATTCATTACCATACTTTGGCATAATAGCATGGGTATTTCCTTACCTCCTTTCTTTGGGATGCCGCCAGCGGCGAACTCGGGCATCTCTCACCAAGATGTTGTTGCCGGCGAACGAGTGAAGGCGAAGCAAGCACTTTATTTCCGAAAATGTATTCCGAAATTGGCGCTGTTTCTCGAATCACCTTATCTCATCTCGTCCTCCTCTCCCCCGACCGTGCTCTAGTTACACAGTTTCCACAACTGGATCGTCTGGCATATATTCCAGTATCCTCGCAGCCATCCTCTAGGGCGATATTTCAATCCTCGAGAACCGGAATACCAGCCCCCCGACGAGGCTCCTCGTGCCTGATGCTTACTGCCCAGGAATGGGCCCGGGTGACCGGACAGCCAGGGATTAGAGGTATCAAAGCTTCCTGCTCGATCAAGCAAAACCCATGCCAATCGATTTCTCCATTTTCTATGAGGGTAGTAAGTTTAGGCCCCCGGAATCCCTAGCTGCCGGGTCTCTTAAGTCCATATCTGAGTGCCGTGAAAACTCTTGAAATCTGCCACCTCCGCCAACCCCGTAATCCCCGGATTCAAATTCAAAGGCTCCAGGGAAGGAACAGTATTTGTAAATCCTGAAGGCGCAGTGTACCCCGAACCCCATTGACTAGTATTCGCAGTTCTATCCTCCTATCGGGCCAAATCTAGTGTAGGTGGAACGAGGATAGTATATTTCGAGAGCTTCTCACAGCAGATAGTGAGCCAATCCTCTCTGCAACCAGACACTTGAGGTATATCCCGAACTTCCTGTGAGTATCTGTCACGCCTTCACTCAACTGATCCAACAAGAGGAGAGTCTCGGTCAGGGGAGCAACTCTTGACATGCGATAATAACGCTAAGATTGCTGACAAGTTCGGACACTATCCTTCCTGCGCCGAATGTATTTGTACGAAAGTCTGCAATTGCGGAATAGGCAACACTACTCATGCATGGACAAGGAGACCGTGATTTCCGGGGACGATTCGTGAAACTGGTGGTTGAAGCTGTGTATCATAATAGGTTGTAATATGGGTTGAGGTTAGTGTCCACTAGCAGGCTTATCCCCCGAGCTAAGCTGGATTATCTAGACTTTGATTAGAGCTTTTCAACTGTTTTTATTTCTTTCCTGGTAAACTTTGTAAGTGAAAGACTGGAGGAAACAGGAGGTAGGGGGAGACGGGGATCCCCGAGATTATCCCGTACGAATCTCAGAGCTTCAGGTAGGAAGGGTGAGAGAATATTTAACGACTTTGAATTATTATTATTATTTTCCATGGCCGGGAAACCCCTTGTGCACACCTCTGGTGGTCCAACTGAAAAAGTGAGAATGCTAGTACTCTTAAAACATTGGCGGCACTTATGAAAGGTTGAGGATAGGGAAATCGGGTCAGATACTAACGAGGAAGGAATTACGTGTGGGGG